CCTGCCGTCCGCCCAGTGCACGACCCTGGTGTGGAGGTTAGCAGGACACAAAGACCAGTGGGACAAGGCACAGGCTGGACACGGGGATGGACCCGTAGGAGAAGGGCAGTGCCCACGGTGGGATGTCCCCGAGGGCGGGCAGGCAGCAGGGTGCTGGGAGTGGGCTGTGGCAGGAGGTGGCTCCTCTGTCCCCCAGGTGTCAGGTCTTCCTGCCCACCAGGCCCTGGAGGGGGGTGACAGCCAGCGCATCTGCCACCTGAGAGCCCTCTTCTGCTGCTCCCAGCAGCCCAGTGATAGGCACTGTCTACACCAGGAGAGAACAAGCAAAAAAAGCCCCCCAGGTGTTGGGAGCCGCAGTCTAGACTGTGGGATGGCTGACTCGGCGGTGCTGGTCTCGAACAGGTCGTACAGATAAGAACTCCCAGCCTAGAAATACATATATTGTCCAGCTCTGTCCATGTCGAGGGCCCAGGGTCGATGACACCCCAGCGACAAGGGGCACAGCCAGCACCCAGGTCTCATTTCCGCACGTCACACCCGCTAAAATGAGCCGCGGCTCCTGGAAGAAATGGCTGGTTCCAGGTCTGGGGCAGGGCAAGGTCAAGGAAACTTCAGAACATCTTATAGTCTCAGGAAGCAGGGACGTGTTCAGAGGCAGAAATTAGGACACCAGGATGACACAAGAGCCAGTAGGAGGGTCCCTGGCCAGATCCGGGATAATCCGAGCACCCAAACGAATAAGGATGGTAAGATATTATAATACAAGTTAAAAAAAAATCCACGGGTTCACAGTGAAAAGAAAGCGAAAAAGAGAGAGGAAAAGCAAAAAGAAGATCTTCACAGAAGCACATTAGATAAGTAGGAAGCGTGACAATTAGAAAATCACCATTTTGCATTTGCAACATTGTAGTCAACCATGACGAGATCCTCGCTGGATGCTAATGCCACTGGGCAAAGGGCGCCGGGGGACTGGGTGCCCCGGTGTTGCCACACGGATCCACTTGCCGACGGCAAATAAGGGAGGGGCTGTCACCCCAGCATCTGGCTGTCCTCATCCATTCCCTCCCCTCTGTTCCCAGGGCCACCCCACTTCGTGCACCGGCCCCTCCCTCCATCCCACCCGTGCCAAGGCTCCCCTCCACCCTTTCCCGGGTTCACAGTCCTCTCTATCTGGCTCCTGTGTCGGCTTCCCTGTCTCCCCACAACAGCAGGTTCCCTGCAGAATCGAGGTCAGACACGAGCTGGGCACACAGTCTACATCTCAGGACCCCTTCCCGTTGGGGGCCGAAGACCACCCAGGATTCCTCCTTCCAGCTCCACTCCCCAGCCTGGCACGCAGGGGCTTTGAGAGGGCTGTTCTAGAATCCCACGGGTGAGTGCACAACTCCGGCCCTCGCCTCTCCCGCATCGCATCCCCATGGCAGCATCAGTCACCGACTGCCCGCCTGCCCCGGACAGCCAGCCCCCATGGCTCCCCCTCTGCCCCACAGCAGGGTCTGGGGTGACTGTCCTCGGGGACAGCCTTCTCATCCCCGCCACAGGGAGTCCGGCGGCTGGACCTGGCTCTCCGGGAGTCCCCGATCCGATTTTAAACAGCCGGCTCTCAGCACTCACCTGTGTGTCCGCATTTAACACCTTGATCCTCTGGGTGGAGATGAAGAGGTCCACTTCGGTCAGAGTCTGGGCATCGCCCTCAGAGTTCTAAGGAAGGATGGTGGAGACTGTTACAGACCTTTTAAGAAACTAATTCAAACAAAGGCCTGACAGTCTTACCGAGGACCCTGAGCGCCCCTAGAGGGAAGAGCTCCTCCGGCAGGAGCAGCCATGGGAGTCTAAGTGCAGGCCTCCTCCCAGCGCATCCGCAGCTGAGCGAGTTCTCCAGGCAGCCGGCACAGGGCACGGCGAGGAGCGAGGAGACCGCCTCCGGGAGGCTGAGCACCAAGCGGGTCTGTGTCACAGCATCCAAAGTGCGGCCCCTTGACCCCCTGAGATTCCGGCCTGCCTGCCCACCCTTCCCGAACACGGCGAACACACGGGTCTGTGTGCAGGAGCTCCCTTTCTTGGACTGGGGATTCCGAGTCTCCCCAGGAGGGGGGAAGACATTTTCAAAGAAGGGGGATTAGAATATCTGCATCTCCTTCTGGTTTAAAGTCACAGCCGTAGATCGGGAGTTCAGGATTTGCAGATACAGACTACTGTATATAAAACAGGCAAACAACGAGATCCTACTGCATAGCACAGGGAACTCTATTCAATACCTAGTGACAGCCTACAATGGAAAAGAATGTGAAAAGGAACATGTATGTGTGTATAGCTGAATCACGATGCTGCACACTTGAAACTAACACAACATTTACACTGCAGTAAAAAAAAAATTAAAAAAAAAGTCACAGTCATGTCAACCTGCTGGCAGCACTGGACCCACTCTTCCAAAAACCCTGAAAACAAGGCCTTGAGCGGACCAGGCGCTGCCCTCACAGGACACTGGAGAAGCTGTCTCACAAATGCCCCTTCTGTCATCTCCCGAGGATACCCATCATATGGCCACTAGTTATGTATAAAGGAACGTTCTGGAATTGAGGGCACTACTCAGGGTCTGCCCCAAACCAGGACGGCCTTTCATAGGTTTCTACACCTGTGGGAATGCTAACTACCCCTGCACAGGGACGATGAGATACAAGTTCTCTGGTTCTTCCACTGAGGTGAAGAATTCTCTGTGGTTACTCAGGGGCCCAGAGTAGTCTACCTTCCACTTCACAGGAGCAGAAGTCGTGATTTAATTTCTCGCTAGGAAATCTGAAACCAAACCCCCCTTGCTGACCATTCCTCAGGAATTCTGAGTCACAGAGAGGCCCTCTACTGCAATGACAAATTTGGATTTTCACTCAGTTTTCAAGGGAAAAGGTCTTTGGGGCCCTCAGCCCACCACGGGGGGCACAGCTTTTAACTGACTATTAACAGAAGAGAGTCCAAACTAATGCAGCTGAAACAGTCTGCAGGACATCGGAGAAACTTCTTTTTTCTCTGTTTTTAAAAATCTAGTTAAGAATATGAAAAGGAATACATGTATGTGCATGTATGACTGAAACATGATGCTGGACACCAGAAATTGACACAACATTGTCAACTGACTATACGTCAATAAAAAACAATGCTAAAAAAAATCGGGTTACAGTCTCCATCCCCATGCTTTTCAAGTTTATTTTCTGGAATTATGGCTCAAAACCTTCTTTCCAAAAGGCAGGTCCGGCCAGAAGTAAAACAACAGTTGCAGGTGGACCCTGGTTTTAGTGACAGTTTGGGGGGACACATGAGCCTGTGATACACTTGACAGGAGAAGAGGGAGCAAGCTTGGGGGTGACTGGGCTCCAGGTGGGGGTCAATGGAGGAGACTGAAGTCTGTTCAGTAACAGGGAACAGAGAGGCCATCCCATCATACTCCCTGCGGGAAGAAGGGAGGGGGACCTCAGACAACTGGGGGGCTTGCACATCTATAGATGGGGACCACAGCCCCAGTCACCAGTGAGTCCGTGGTGGGAGGACATGCTGACTCAGGGAGACCTTCCAGTCATCATCGGCCTGCCCAGCTGCGGGCCAACCAGGAAAGGGGCCTTTGGCAATGACCCTGAGCACCTTCCTGCCTGAGAGAAAGAACAATCCTTCCTGGAGGTAATAGGCTGGCCTCGGCCGGCCGCTGAGGCTGTCTTGCCTGCGCCGGCCCCCTCTGGGCTCTCCAGACTGCAGACCCGAGGAGCAGGCTGTGGTCCACCCTGACCGTTCTGCAAATATCACAGGGAGAGAGGGCTGGCCGCAGGGGGAAGGGAGACCCCAGACAAGATTCTCTGGCCACATTGCCAGAATGCGGTGTTCCTGGTGGGGACAGAGAACTAACTCTCTCGCTGTTAAATCTACAAGCCAGGGCAGTCAGTGCCCTCCAACACCAAGCATTTGCTATTTCCCACCTTGAGAGGATAGTCAGAATATAGCCAGTATTTACCAAATGATCAGGCTGAGGAGCCAATCACTGAAGGCCAACTTGAGATTTTTAAGTCTGCTCTAGAAACTTCTCAATAGAGAGAGCATCTCCCGGGCAAACTGAACATCTCATCAGCCTGATTCAGGAAATTAAACTTCATGCGTCTTTAAATGTCACAACCATGTAATTAATTCTGTACAGGGGGCCTCGGAAAGAAATGAGTCACATGGTCCTAGCAAATGCCACATTTAAGAACGTCTACTCGAAACAGCAGCATCATGACAATAACACGCTCTCTAGCTCACAGACACGCAGAAAGAGAAAAATGCAAAAGGGCAACTATTAAATTCTTCTGTAAGGGGGTGGTAAAAACAACAAAAGGTGTCGTGATTGCATTCGGAAGTCTAGCACCTACCCAGGGAGGAGGAAAACACTCACTAGCCACAGCATTTCTGACCCCAGGGGACCCCTCCCTCCCCCCTCCCCCTCCCCCACTGCACCGGATGAGCCAGAGATAGACAAGCGAACCCCACACTCTACACACCGCTTTTTTCTTGATTTTAGCAGCCTTTTGCATCCTCTGAGCAGCGTGGAAGAGAAAAGAAAAACAAGTGGGCAAAAAGCGAAGGAAGAGCTGTTTCAGTCTTGTAGGCAAGAGTCCCGTGGAAGCCCTGCGGGAAGCCCTGCATCCCCCCACCCCCACCACGGGAGCTTGCATGAAAATTCCTGATAACCACTGGGTCCACGCGGGAGCCCTGGGGACCGGATAAGAGGGCAGGCCCTGGGACTAAGCGAGCATCAGGGCTGGGGGCTGGGGGCTGGGGACTGGGCAGGGGACAGTCAGGGCTCCACGCTGCCCCTGGATGCTTTCTTCTGTCCTGACCACAGCACTGGGCTCCTTCCTGGGGCCCCTTTGCTCGGACGAGGAGGTCAGAGTATGATGAGGATGGGGAGGGGCTGGCATCCCTTCTCACCCTACAGGGGCGGGTGTCCACAGACCCTGTTTTGCCCAGAGGGCACCTCCGCAGCCACTGCACCCCTCGCACCGACCCCACTGGCTTTGCTGACTTGGCCCCGCCTTCCCTTTTCCAGGCTCCACCCACCCGCCACCAAAACCAGGTGATCCCATGTGCTTGTTCTCCCATCAGAGGCCAAGTCTCCCTTTGCCTTGCCAGGCACCACAGACGTTTCTGCTCTCCGTGCCAAGGGCTTTGGGGTCAGAGCTGGACAGAGGGCCTGTGCCGAGTCGCCCTCCCCTCCCTAGTGCTCCTTGAAGCAAACCAGGGCACTCCTGGGCCACCCCTACCTTGACCCGGCTGACGGCCTCCTGTGCCTGCATCATTCGAATGTTTTTGGAAGGATTCCGTTCGGAGAGCAGCTGGGTGGACCCCAGGTAGTTGGCAGCAAAGATGATCCCATCAATGAGGTCTTCTGGTTCACAGGGGCCTGGAACTGAAGATGGCAACAATTATCAGCTCCCTGGACCACAGAGGAACGAGGCGGTGGAGAAGGCAGAACCATGACCTCGTGGTCGTCGTCTGCAGCCAGCGGTCGGAGGCGGGTCTCCCGCCCTGGTTCCTCCATGGGGCACCGTGCAAGTAACTGCAATAAATCGACACCAGGGCCAGGAAACCCCGCACCCGCGGTGTCAGGGGGACAAGTCTGGCATCCCGGGCAGCAGTCACTCAAGGCACCTGGGCCTCCAAGGGGACACCACATGCTGCAATCCCAGAGGCGCCCTTTCCCGGATATCCCCACGCCTGCCCCAGAGCCCTCGGTCGTCAGGACGGTAATGGGAGACTGCTCACTGCCCTCCACCCACTCGGCTTCTGCACCGCAGGGCTCTGGCGTGCCGCAGCCTTCCCACAAGGCCTGTGGGGCCCCTCCCCTTCAGTACAGCCCAGGTCCAGGCTGGGGAATGTGATCCTGGTTCGCCCTGCTGTCCGAGGCCAGAGCTGTCAACAGCCTGACCTGGAAGGTTCCATCTTGGCGCTGTTTACTACGGGAACCACTGGCCTCAGGTGGCTTTTGAGGACCCAAACAGGCTAGTGCACCAGAGGAACTGAATTTTAACATTGTATTGCAATCCAAAGTCATATGCACAGAAGCAGCCAGGTGTGGCTAGGGGCTCCTGGACTGCACGGGCAGCTCGAGGTGAGAGTCAGCCAGCCTCTTCTGCAAAAGGCCAGATGGCAGAGACCTTTGGCTCTGCAGTGTACCTCTGCATTTGTAGCATGAAAGCAGGCCTGCCTGTGCCCCAGCAATGCTTGGGACACAAGATCAGGTGCCAGGGGAATCTGGCCCCCAGTCCACAGTCTGCCAACCTGCAGGACATCACTCAGCCTCTCTCTCACTGCCCACCTCCAGCCAGAGCCCTTTTCTTGGACACCTTGGCCTTGGCTCTTGGGCGTCCTTCCATCCTGAACTGGCCTGCCCAGAGCCCCTCCGGTGTCCACAGAGCTGGCTGTGCCATGGATCCCCCCGCCCTCAGGACCAGCAGCCTCCTGCCAACCCAACCTTCAGCCAGGGTTCCATGGTCTCACTTCTGACCCACCCTGTTTCTGAGACTGTCCACTCATCCACCTTGGACACCTCACCCACCAGCTCAGTACCACCTGCCCCAGACCTCTGACCCCGTGCCCCCACATCCTATCTGTCTGCCCTAGGGGTTCGGCAAAACTGCAACGACGTTTCCTTGGGCCCTGAGGCTGGAAACACCATCCCCCCTCCCCACCCAGTAAGGCAGTGGTTCCATTACAAATTCATGGCCTTCAGTGCCCACAGAACTCCTTGGCAACCCTGACAGGCATCTCTGGGAAGCTCTCCCTCTGCCCTCCGTGCAGGCTATTTCATTCCTTTCTCCAGCCCCTTGAACTTCTGGCTGCCTCTCCCGGTCTGTCCTCGACAGAGCATCACCTGCTCCCAAATACGCCAATGCCCCCGTGTGGTGGGCGTCTGACCAGCCCCTCTTTGGGGTTCCCTGGAGGCAGTGAGGTCCCTACCTGGGGTCTAAGGATCACCTGAGACCCCATCCCTCTCCCTTCGGGATCCCATGTCTTCCACTGTGCACTAAACCAAGTCCCATCTCAGGTCTCCCCATGACTTTGAAATATCCTCCAGTCTCCCCAGGCAGAGTCAAACCCTCCTTCACCACAGTCCTGCCTGCAGTGGGCTCCCCCACTCTCCTCCCTCTGGAAGCCCAGTGTCTACAAAGATCTGCCTGTCTGTGTCCACACTCCCTCCTCAGCCCATCCCAGCCTGGCCACTGTCACCACCACTCGTGGACACCACAATACACACAGGGCAGCTGGGTTTCTATGTCCACAGACTTGCAAAGGACATGGTAGCAGTCTGAACCCCAGCCCCACACCCTCAACATCCACCTGTGGCTCCCCTGGAAGGGCCCCAAGGGATGTCCATCTCAACACACCCAAAGCAAACCCTGACCCTTCTCCACGCCAATCTGGTTACCTCCCCAGCCCTGATCTCAAAGCAACCTGGCCACCCACCCAGCGAGGCCAGTCTTCACCCCATATCCACCCCCTCCCAAGTCCTGTCCATTTCACCACTAAACTGAACAGGAGTCTGTCCACTTTCCCCAGTTCTGCCACCACCATCATCCCATTCTCTCTGGTCAGTGACAACCATCTTCAACCAGCCCATGTGAATCACAGTGGACTGTGTGTCTGTGTCCCCTGATCCCCAATTCATATGTTAAATCTCAACCCCTAGTGTGACAGGTAGTAAGACGTGGGGTCTTGGATAGGTGATTAGGTCACGAAGGTGGAGCCCTCCTGAGTGGGATCAGTGCCCTAATCAGAGAGATCCCAGACAGCACCCTTGCCCCCTTCTGCCAGGTTAGGACAGAGAAGGCAGCCGTCTGCAGCTTAGGAGAGGGCCCTCACCAGACGCAGCCATGCTGGCCCCTGAGCTGGCTTCCAGCTTCTAGAATCGTGAGCAACACTTTTCTGTTGTTTACATGCCACCTAGAATGTGGTGCTTTGTCTCAGCTGCCAGGATAGAGACAGGGATCTGCTGCCCACAGGCTGCTCTCCATGGTGCTGAGAGGGCCTTGAGACCAGAAACATGATCATTCTCCCTCCCCTGCTTGAAGCCTCTAAGGGCCTACCACTGCTTTCAGGACTGGAGCCCCAAAACCCAGGGTTCTGGGTCCAACGTACATGCCCGTGGGGGTGGGAGAAGTCTCACTGGCCTCTCACCCCAATGTCAGCAGAGCCCTAGAAATGGGGGTCCCAGCTCCTGCCTGCATCCCCACTCCAGTTGCCCGGGCACTGCGAGCTGGGGATGCCTGGAAAGATATCTGTACGTTACACTTTCATTCGAACAAACTTCAGCTCCATGGACCTTAGACTCAAGCTCCAAAATCAGTCCCAGCCTGTGCCCTTTAGCCTGAAGAGCCACATCCAGGGTTCACACAGCAGACAGACCTACATGCCAGGACACTGCAGATGCAAAAAGCAACAACCATCTCTTCACACCAGAACCACAGCATTTGTACAGAAGTCGATTCTATGATGTGCTTTAGAACATGGTGAAATATTCTGAAGTTTCAAAGAAAACTAACATTAGTAACAATGGGCCCTGGCAGGTCCCAACTCAGGAATGCCCCAGGTCAGCTCCCGTCCTGACAGCACAGATCTGGGGGACCCCAGGCATCATGACACCACTGCTCTGGAACCCCCATTCTCCCCATTGACTCTGACATCCTCCCCAGCTGTGCCCAGAGGATACAGCCCCTCCCCTTGGTGCTTCCTCCAGGAATCTCTGATAACACTTGTGGATGCCTCAACTAGACCCTCAGGGAACTGGACCCAAGGCACTGCCCCCTCAGCCCCTCCAGAGCCCGGTCGCCCAGTCTGTGTAGGTCACAGATGCTGTCCCCCACAAATGGACACCTGGTGACCCCCACAGCATGCTGGTGGACTTCCCACAAGTCTTAGCCCCATCTCTGCCATCCGTGTCTGGAGGAAAGGAGCATGAACTGGGAGTAAGGGGTGCCTTTCCAGAGCCTTGCCCCAGTGGGGAAGATGTGAGCCTAAGCCTGCAGGGTAAGCACAGCCCCTCAGTATGACCTCCCCACCGCCACTCTGTTCTGGGGGAAAGTGCAGGTGGTCCCAGAAGCCCTGGAGTAACAGCCCATCCCACACTCTCAGCCAGTCCTCGGCAAGTGTCCCCTTGCCATGTCCATGGGGCGGGGGTTCACGTGGCACTCTGTGGCCCCCATCCCTGGGGATGAGGGGTCAGCCTTCTGAGGCCTCTGTCTCCTAATGCCCCCTTGCCCGTTCCCCAGGGTGACCTTGGTCAGCTCCCGGACCTCCCCAAGGTTCACGCTCCTGTCTCGCTCCATGTCCCAGAGGAGGTTTATCAAAGGCTGGCCCATCTCCTCACCGGATCTGGGGCCCACCGTACAGACTGCTGTTGTGAAGGACGCCCCATTCCAGGCAGTAGAGTCCACCACCCGCACCCACGGACACCTCCCTGGGAAGAGGCCAGGGGAGGACTAGAGGCTTTGTTGCAACCCCAGCAGACACCCATCTCCGCAGGGGTTCCTGTCACTCCTACCTTGCTCTTTCTTCAAATGGAAAACACCTCATACAACAGTGTCTCAAGCATCCCACCCGCCTGGACACTCATTAGGAAGCAGAGAGGAGCGGCCAATGAGGGGGCGTGGATTTCAGGATCTCAGACACAATCCTCAACTCCAATCATGACATGCAGAGCAAGGATCAAACAGCCTCCATTTAAGACTGAAGTGGCTGGCCCTGCGTGTTTGAGAATAAATTGTTTTTCTTTTGCTAGATTCTTGAACCAACCCTAAGCCACCAGAGGGAGACAGGACAACAAAAAACAGAGATAGGTTTAAGGGAGATTCTCTCTCCTCAGAGTGATTTCTCCTATTAATTTCCTTTCTATGGCCTAGTATGTACACACGTGTATCAGAACATCTCTGCGCAGCTTGGACAAGAAGAATAAGGTGCTCAGTGTCTTCCCTGCTGGAGGAAGCCTTCATCGGAAGCACCCATTGGAGAAACAGGGCAGAGGTGGGGGTCCCCCAGAGCCATGCCTAGAAGCTCCCCACCGCCACCTGGGGAGTGATTATCTGGAAGGGGGGTGGTCAACAGAGGCTTCAAACAGTGGCTCGGCCCAGATGGTCTCACTCACCTGTGCCTGAATCTCCCTGGGGTCCTGGAGGGGACCACTAGGGGAGGGGGCAGAGCACAGACATGTACAGTGGTGTAGGTGTGAGTCTGAAGGCCATGGAGGGCAGCCTGCACCTCGACACCCCAGACCCCTGTGCAACATCTGTTCCATCCAATCCTCCTCAAGTCCATGAAGCAGACCTCAGTGTCCTCATTTGACAAATAAGAACAGTCTATGTGGGGTCAAATCATTTTGCCCAAGGTCACCAACACTGACTCAGGCACAAAGCA